TATATATATATATATGATAAATGTTAAAATACCTTAAAGAGTGTCAAAAACAGCAATAACAAAATTCATTGATTTTGGTGTCTATTGTAGCCTTAAATGTATTAAAAGAAAAAAAAAAGAAAAATACCGTAACTTATATAAATTTTCTAAAATTTTTCATCTCCATATTCATTAAATTATTATTTTTTTAAATTTTATAATTTCCCGTTGTTTCAGAATATATTTAAGAAACAAATTTGTAAATGAGTACAGCAATTTTTCTGGCAAAAAAGAAGGAAAACAATGTTTTTTAAAAATAATCGATCTTGTCCGTAAGACTTTGAAATTAGTGTCTAGGAAATTTGACTTTGATATATTAGCACACATGAAAAAATATTCTGCACTGTTTAAAGAGTAAATTAATTAGCATTGTCCATAATTATATTTTAAAGGACCTCTAAATTTTATTTTAAGTCACATTTTCTATTGTTTTTTTATTAATTTCTTTTCATGCTTAATTTATGATGCAATAATATTTGACTCTACATTACCTTTCAAAAGAGATAGGAAGTAAAGAGGTCACTTCATTAAAATGGGAAAAATAGCGTTTGACAATTTTTAGAACTTCTATCGAATTTTCCTCAAAATAAGCAACATGTGGTTTTGAGTCCGAAAATTAAAGCAAGTCATTTGCTTAGTTTTTTAGAATTTTTAAAATTAAATTTTCAGTACAGTTTATATTGATGAAAGCCAAATGTTAAAAAATTTTTATCAAGTAAATTGCACAAAACATAAATACTTGTAAAAAATCTGAAAACAGGAAATTTATACCATATAACTACATTTCAGAAACTGCTGATTGTAGAGTTGTATTGGCAAAAAAAATTGACAGAAAAAATTAATAACAGAAAATCTAAAATGACGTATGCTTTATATCTCAAATTTTGATCGTGTTCCAAAAAATTTTTTGTGTGCCAAAAATTTGAAACCAAAAGTTTAAAAATTTTTCGTGTACCAAAAGATGTTACTGAATAGAATAAAAATATATCTTAATTTTATTTGGGAAAGTAAAATAATGTTTCTTAAAAGCATGTTTAGAATTTTCCTTCTCCACCGTTTTCGATAGTTGCGTTCAACCGAGAAGTGAGAAGCTTTCTAAGAAAAAAACAGTATTAAAAAATTATTACGCACTTTAATTTGACTTAATTGTTATTTTGCCAAGGTTCAGGACAGAAAACGCTGTATATATATACTATATAAACTGATAATCATTAGTTTTCCTTGAGATATTTATCGATTGTCAATAAACTTAGTTTCAGAGTCGTTTTTTTTCATTCCCTTTTTTTCACAGTCATTTTTAAAGTTCAGTTTCAGAAAATGTAAAGTTTTAAAATGCATCCTAAAAATGAAATTAACGTATGGATTTATAATTTTCGGGAACTTACGGAAATAATATTGTCAATCAAACAATATTGAATAATAATATTGTCAATATTGCTTAAAACTACTCTCCAGCAAGCCAATATGTGCAGCATGCCAATAAAGCTAATTAATTCAATAACTTAGCCGTAGACTGTCTACTGAACCCATGGTCAGAATGGACACCCTGTTCCAAGTCGTGCGGTCAAGGTGGTACGCAACAGAGGACGAAGACGGTTAAAGTTCCGCCCAAGTACAATGGAGCGGCATGCGGTCCTAAGATTGAAAGGAAGTACTGCACACTACCGCCCTGCCCTATGCACTAATTTCACTAGGGTAGGTGATAGATTTAAAAAATTAAATAGAAAAAAAAACTTATATCTCTTTACACTTTTTTCTGTGAAAAGTTTGTAAAGGGTATCGACTTTGATGTAACTGTGTTAAAATTTGTCTGTACCAAGTTTCATTTTTTACGCACAAAACAGAATGAAATAAGAAATGTCCCTTTGAAATATTGAGGGTTTGGAATTAAAAGATGATTTAAAAATTAAAAGATGTTCGAGATGAGAATATTAAAGATATCATTAATAGTAAATCTTCCTCAATAGATGGCACCACTACTTGTAAATCACTTAATTTGCTCAGAACAGTTATATATGAATTAAGCTATGTTTAAACTTAATAAGAAAAAATATTATTTTTTTTGTCTGTCGAGCCACTAACTTGGGATTTTACAAATGCGTTTACATCGAAGAAAACTGTAACACTACTTTTACAGAAATCTTCTTTTTCAAAAATCTTTAATATTCCTTTCCTCCAATAATAAAAATTAATATATTTTTAATTGGTATGTGTTTAAAGATATAATGTATCTGATATATTCTACTTATTTTTATACGACACATAAAACAAATTAAACGAAAATGAAGCATCAGTATGTTTCACTATATTGTTGGAAGGCACCCGTCATTTTTGTCCATTAAACTGTATTAACATGATTCTTTATGGCAGTTCCTGAAATTTCAACTCGCTATTGGTTGCCGAAAATTTAGAATAGGCGTGTTGACGAGAACGTTTGGTCTTATAAAATATTTCACTTTAAATTACTACATTTTCCCCGAGTTTGCTGTAGACATATATTTAAATTGGTCCATACTTTAAGAAGGAGATTAAACTCAAAGATATACATCACAAATGTCTGAAACCTATATAGACTGGAACCTTTGTCGTTAGATGTGTTAATACATCTGCATGTTTTTTGACATCTTGGGTTTTTCTCACAAATAAAAAAAATGGGATAGAGGATACAATGAAATTTAATTAATCCAAAATCTATTTAATGAACAAGTGAGAGTTGCGTTGACTCAGGGGATAGAGAGCTCGACTCCCTATGAGGATTGACTCTCGATCCAAGTTCGAATCCCAGCAATGGCTTGTGATAAATATCTCGCTCCCAACCCGTACTGACACAGTACTAACGTAAAATAGCTATAGAGATCATGTGTTAGAACCCCCTTGCCGTCAGGACGATTTCGTGATTTTCGTCTTCAAGTGAAGCAAATGAGGGCTTCTCTTTTGACTTTTAATAATGTAAAATATATTTCATTTTAATATTTGCATCTCAGCCGCCCAAAATAAAAGCAAGGGAGTCTTGTCACTCATCCTTTATTTTAAAACCTAAAGTATTGTAAAGTAGAACTTCACTTAAGTAAAAGATAGTACGGTTACATAAAAATAAGAGGTTCGAAATTTGTCTTGAAATTACTGTTTTTGAAAGGAAACATGTTGTCTTAAAAAAGCTTGTTGGGAGTGAGTTGTTATCGACAATGTCAACCTTCATCTATGAAAAGGTACCCCATCATAGAATCTAGTTAACATGTCTTATATACTAGTGAATTGGAATTATATTTTTGTAGTGGTAGATACACTGCAGTACTCCTCCACCATAATGATAGAATTCGATGAGCAGACACCACTAGTTGATTCATTGCAGTTTTTGTGAAAAGCCGGGAGAGCTCTATTAAGATCCCCGTACTTTTTGAGTGCTGAATGTGAGGGGTGTATTAACTTCAGGGTCGTAGTCGCTTCTGTGTTGCCGTTAGCAGTCGAGTGTATGCAAGCCGACGTTGTGCGTGTTCGAGACGAGACTGAGTAGCAACAGTGCGAGGAGGTGGATAATGTCGCAGTCACAAGTAGCAAAGTCAACGGTTAAATGTGTAGCATCCATCGAAGTAGGCGTTTCCAGACAGAAGTGAGCGTTGCTGTCAAGATAGGCGTGATCATATCAAAGTGGGCATTACTGTCAAGATAGACGTGTTCATATGAAAGTGGGCGTTACTGACAAGATAGGCGTGTTTATAACAAAGTGGGCGCTACTGTCAAGATAGGCGTGTTCACATCATGTCCGAAGTTCACCAATGTGGGGAGAGTTGATATCGACAATGTCAAACTTCATCCATGAGAAGGTACCTCTCCATAGAATCGAGTTAACATGCCTTATATACTAGTGAATTGGAATTATATTTTTGTAGTGGTAGATATACTACACGCTCAAAACAATTGATTTTCTCAGAAATGAGAAAAATAAATGAAACTTAATGTCGGTCTCTATTGTTGAATGAATGGCTCAGTTCGGACGTTTTAATAGGCATTATTAATATTGCGTCTATGGAGTGATGGAAAACGGGTCTTTATGTAATAGTCGTTGGAATAGAAGGGTCGCTGGAATAATAGGGTCGTAAGAAAGAGCGTAGACCTTAATAAGCCGTGTTAAACGAAGTAGAATAACAAAATAGGGGGAACAAAATATGTTCTGAGCATGTGTAGTCCTTTTCATAGTTTGAATACTCAGGGTACCTTGTTTTATAAGAGTAGTTTATTGTTATTTATCATATCTCTTATGTTATGCTCACAATGTAATTTTAATGAAGTTTTCAACACTGCGGGAATGTTTTTTTTGTTTTGTTTTTAGTACATTTATCGTCTGAAATGTAATTAATCTGATCATTATGATGTTATTAATTCTCTTATGCCCTGTGACACTAACCTACTAAAGCATTTTTCTTAAAAATATTCCGTACTAATTTATAAGCATGCTATTTGTGTACTTTTAATGCTGATTCCTTTAATGCAAATTCTTCATAACTAATAAAAATAATCAATTTATTACACATACTACTTATATTATTATTAGTAATTAACTAATTTATTATTAGTATTTAATTAATTTATTATCAATGTATCATAACTCTTTGTAACACACAAAATATTTAATGTATATTTCTTATGTTACTATGAGTGCCATTATACCTATTTTAATATTAAATTATATTTGTAATTTTATCGTAATTTGCAATTATTCGAATTATTTAAGTTTTTTGTCAATTACGCTAGATATTTGAATATAAATGCTTCTTCAATATGATAAAACATCGCATCTAAAACATAGGAAATGAGAACACTATTGTTTATTTCCCTTATTAATAAAAATTTAGGCTTACAAATTTCCGATTTCCGCATTGCTAATGTATTTTTGTGGTTTGAGGCTTTGAATTTGTTGACTTCAAACTTATATCCAGTATTTTGCAATGAGCCAGGCTAATTAGAAATGTCCTCAGTATTTTTTTAATCTGCCTGATCTGGTTACTTACAATTAGTTCACATGCCTTTAGGCTTATCAGGACTAAAAACTTTTAATTCAGAATAACTTATGGTTGTTGCATTGAACATTGAATAAAGCTAGTTATAATAAGTGTTTACGCTGGTTATAATAAGTGTTACGCTAGTTATAATAAGTGTTTGGTATTTCTGGACTTATTACTTAGTAATAAGTCTTAAATAAATTAAGCTAATTTAAATAAAATTAAGCTAATTAAATTATTGCTGATATATATTTTATTTCGTGTCTTAGAGGTATCTAGTCTAACTGCAACATGCCTAAAGATTTCAAGCAGATAAGAAAATGCTTGAGACTTTTTTTAAATAAGTCACTGTAAAAACTTCCTGATGAAATTACGGTAAAAAGTACTCGCACTAAGATACCAGTGTTTTTCATAGTAAAATCCATTTTTACCGTACAAAAAAATCTCATGGGTTTATGTGGGACAAAAAACCAACTGTACCTTAATTTTTACTGTAATATCTACTGAATCAGTGAACATATTACTGTAAAAGTTGCGGTATAAATGTTTTCAATAAAAATGGTTCTTACGGTAAAATGAATTTTAGGGATGATGCACACAGGGTGTCAGTAAATATTACAGTAAAAATTAAGGTACAGTTGGATTTTTGTCCCATACAAACCCATGAGATTTTTTTGTACGGTAAAAATGGATTTTACTATGAAAAACACTGTAAAAACAAAGGACAGACACGGAAAAACACTGTGCAGCGGAAAAACACTGTAAAAAAATACGGATAAAATTTTATAAAAATTTTATCCGTTTTTTTTTACTATCTGATGCAAAGTGCCGGATTATTCAGCTAGCTTACAATTTCTATATCTACTCATTAAAATGTTTAAATTTTCAGAAATGAAAGTTATGCCAGAAAGAAAAAGAATGCCCGTAAATTGACGCATCAGCCAATCAGATTTCTAGGGATAATCTGAGCCAGATGGTGCATAAAGAAGAACAACAAAGAAATTTTTGTGATTCATGTACATAACTACATTATTAATTATGTGTGTCGTAGTTTTACTGTTACCTCCCCTATCCTTCCCCCTTTACCTGAAATATAATTGGTTTCTTCATTAAGTATACAGCGGATTAATTTTTGAAAAAATAGATCTAAAAAAATCATAACACAAAATATTAAAATTCTGCTTTTTCTATAAACTTTAAGTTTTAAAAAATAATCAATTTCAACATGGAAATATCTATTTTTAGAAATATATATTGTAAGATGATTGATTATTATGTATTGAATCATTTGTGTTTCAAATTTTATGAAAATGTTGAACCTCAAATTGCAGTGTAAAAATTTCGATATATAAACTAAACAATTCATTAATTAATAAAATAAAAAACATATTTAGATACGCTACAAAAGCAATAATTGATTACATGGATAAAAAATAGTATGATTCATTTAAAATTAAAAATATTACTACCGATAACTATTATTAAACTTATTTAAAACCTATTTTAATACTTAAGTCTTTAAACTATCAATTTACTGTAATTTACTAAAAAATATTCATTTGTATATGGTAGGATGAATAAATTAACTGATATAAAGAATCAAACTCATAATCAGTCTAAAATCGTAATAACTAAATAAAGCATAATTTACGATCTCATTGCAAAAATTACTAATCATTTTTTTTATTGTTGATTAAAATAAAATCATGTTTTATATTACTATAAAGCGTTGTTATATTTGAATACATATCAAAAATGGGAAACCACCCAATAACATATCCCTTATTGTATTAAGCATATCATATAATAGATAATGTGTACAAGATTATAATATATTATAATCCCTGCACTTAACAAATTTATTTAGGATTTTTGACTAAAAAATGAAGTTAATCTGACCAATGCATTGGAGGTCATAGTAGTTACAAATTTTAAAATTGATTTAAATTTGTTTAATCTAACATCCGCTGACGACAAAGATATGCAATAAATTTTTGAATTGTCAAATAGTCGCTTGCGGGTCTAACTGCTCAAGCTACTGTTAATTTTTTTTCCAAAATACTACACATTTAAGACAAGATTAGGTTAGTGTTTAAAAAATGCTGTTTTTTTTTCTTTAAGAATGTGTTACTTTTAAGACTTGAAAAAAATACAATTATATCTTAGCATTAACTGATAAGGTATCGTTCTTCCCAATTTATTTAAAAAATAAAAAGTTTAAATGTCAATACTAAATATTGCTTTTCAAATGACACAAAGTAATATTATATAAGAAGAATTGATTATCCTTTAAACAAAAATTGGTTGCGTTAAAAGAATTCCTAGTTCTAATTTTGAAACTATGCAGAACTTATTGAAGCCTTATTTGTAACGTATATTTTATACTTGCGAAAAAAATATCAAAAATTAAATGTTAGCATTCTTGTGAGCATTCCTCATTAAAGTATATACAATCTTATGATAACATTGTTATGAATAAGTAAATATATAAGCAATGAAAGTTATAATCGCGTGTCAGTATAAAATTAATATAATTTATTTGTTTTAAATTTGCGCGTAAAACTAAATCAGTTACAGCAACGTTTAAATCATACTATTATATATTTCATGTTAAAACAGTCATTATCGTACATGTTTAATTGGAATATGTTTGCTTGAACATGAAGAAACTTTATCATAATATTGCGGTATGTTTTATTGAAATAAGTTTATTAAAACACGTAACAACATTATCATAACATTACTTCATTCTTACTTACAATTCCATCATTTAAGCATGTAACGACATTAGCATGCAATAATATTGCTGCATGTTTAATTAAAATATTGCATTTAAACATGTATCAATATTAACACACGATAATATCACTGTATGCTTTATTGAAATACGTTAATTAAAACATGTAAGCTGCCTTCTCAATTGATATTGCTGCATTCTCAGTTGATGTACGTTCATTTAAAAATGCAACAACATTAGAATATGGTAATATTGTTGCATATTTAATTAGAATGCGTTCATTAAAACATGTAAAACCGTTATAAGATAATATTGCTGTGCGCTTAATTGAAATTTGTGTTTAATTAAAATTTATTATCACGTGTTTAATTTATCAAATTTAAGTTATGTGTATTAAATGTTTAAGAAACTACCTAATTAATACGAGAATCAAGACTCAAAAGTCATTTAAATCCTTTCGATAATTTATTAATTTAATTCAACTCAGAAAAATATTTAATTCAAAAACAGACTACATCTGTATCCAAACTGAGTAAACGTAATTTATGATATTGTTTAATGACAAGAAAATAAAGTAAAGAGAATTAAATTATTTGACATGAAATGTTTTGATCTTTTTTTCAAATTAATAAATTGTTGAAGCCAAATGTCGCCAACCCAACCCTTGAAGTGTAAGTTACAGTATCTAGTTTTAATGATAGAAATTTTTTAATACTCTTTAGAATCTTAGAGTAATAAACGTGATGAAAATAAATACAACAACAAATGTCTTCCTGCAAATTACTGAAAGATTTATTTTTAATTGTTTAATTATTTTTGGAATGTTTATAACATTTCTGTCTGGTTGCATACATTTATGTGAATGATCTTTTTTATAAATATGTTGCGTTTCTTACAAGGTGATGTTGTGAATATACTGTTCTATTTGTATAAAAATCTAAAACAATTTTAATGAAGGATATATATAATATTCCTTGAAACAAACTGCAAATTTTGCGAAAAAAAAGTGTTGCTTCTTCAAACTTTAAGGTGTTATGAATTTATAGAGTTTAACGAGAGTTTTCAATGATTACAGTTTCAAAATTGTTATACATAGTAGTTAATATTACATTAATGATTTTTTGATAACCAGCTTAAACATTTCTTTAAGCGCACTAAACACACCATTTGATTCTTCAAGAATTTGAAATGATTTCATTTTTGCATATAATAATACGTTCACAAAAAATTTTTATAATACATTTATAATTACAAACTCTAATGTTACATAATCATAAATTGCATTATTAGTTATGCTATGAATGTTTTGAAAAAAATTTAGTTTTATAAAGTACAAAGGGCTGTATAAAATTGGCCCATTCAAAATATATAAATAGGCTTAAGCTACATACAACGTAATAAAGGCAGCCAAGCATTGTTATTGGAAATAGGTTTATAATTTCAATATTTTCATATTTTGTTGTCATTATAAGCATTTTTGAGCAATTTCAATCATAAATATAAACATTTTTGAACAATTTGAATTGCAAATATTCTCAAACAAAAATATACATTCGATTTTCAAAGCGTATAAGAGATTTAAATGGAAAACTAAAGCTTCTTAGTACAAATAGCAATTTCAAGGAAAATTAATTATCGAAACTGTTTTTTTTTTTTTAACAAACTAAAATAATTTTGAAGAATCAAAATATGTGTCAAAAGTTTAAAGTGCATTCTTTTTTCCTGTTTCAATTTTTTTTCCGTAATATTTAGGAGAAATAATAAAAATGTTCGCATTGTTATTTACAATATTTTATCGATGTTTTTAAATAAATTAATAAACTTCAATGCTAATAGCGTTATGCGTTTCATAATTTCTTTTTCATTATTTTTTTAAAACATTTGAATTCGCCAAATAAGTAAAACAATATCAGTTATAAATTACATTTTATAACATTAGGGAAAAATAAAATATTTTTAGAAGAAGATTATGCTTTTTATTCCATTTGTCTATGGAGTGAAAAATAATTAAGCTCCATTGTTTTTTTAAAATTCCATTGCATCATAATATTGTAGTTAAAATATATTTATACAATATGGAGTTTTTATCTATGCTGATAGATGCTTCAAATATTAATTATAACATGTTACATTTACCAATAAAAAATATTATTGTATAGAGTAAAAAAAATATGGTAAATTTTTCTGGTTAACGCTTTATTGCTAAAGCTTTATTGGTAATCAGTTCATTTTTTGTATTGGTATTTTTTTATTTCAACAAAATTTCTTTTTTTTATTTGTTCCTTAAACTGTTTTTGATGATATTTTATTTAAATATATGTGAATACCATATCCAAAGTTGCAACCATGTCTTCCTCGGTTTTTCGATCAAAACTGTTATTGTTTATATGGTAGAATAATAAAGTTCTATCTTAGATTTTACTCTGAATTCTTTCTTTTTAAACTACACTAATGTTTGTGAATGAAAATTGCAACACTGTGATTGAAGTTTCAGAAATTAATCATATTTACACAACATATCAATGTCAGTAGTACAAACAATACCAGCGTAATCACTTTATAATTCTAATGTTAGTTTGTATTGTATTTTTTGTAAATTTGGTTCAACTGTCATAGTCTCCTCGTGGTGTTGCAATTTTTTAAAAAAATGAGGGTAAAATTAACTAAAGCATCACACAATACAGTAAAATTACATTTATTATACAATATAATAAAAATCTACATATTATACAACATTAATATACATATCCCCAACATTTTGGGGGATTGTAAAATATATTTCCTATACTCTGTTGCAAGTTAAGAAAAAAACATTATCCTTATGAAAAAAGCCTGCCCTCATCAAATGTAAACCAAACCTATGCCAAGCTCTCTGCACGAACGAATATCAACATCACCAACTCTTGAAGCGAAGTTTCACAGCCTTCGTCTTGTTTTCTTTTTAAATCGTGTGAAATAAGGAAGACAAATATTATTGAATAATCAATTAACAAGTTGCTAAAATTAATAAAAATGATGTCCAAAAATTTTAACAAATCTACGCCTTTCTGTTCGCATTTAAAGAAACTGATGAGAGAATAATAAATATTGCTTGTTGCAGATGATTTTCTTCTATAACGAAACAAAAGATAAAATTCATTATCTCGGATTTGATTTGTTAACGGTCAGATTAGTTAAAGGTAATTTCATTAGTCAGCATAAGACGCGCCATTCTTCGTGGTCCAATCAAATCCAATGTTCTCGCAACGTCATATAGCTGTTTCTTTTTCTAGAAGGAAGGTTCTCCTTATTTATTCAAATATGTCACCACGTCAGGGATTCCAGAAAGACTACTGAACTATAAATTTTTTCTTACAATTCTATGCTGTATGATGTAAAAGATGGCACGATAGATTCTATGATGCAAAATATAGCATGAATTAAATTTCTGTCTTGCGTGTTTAACTTTGAAAAGCTTTCAGATTGTTTTGAAAGCATATTTGCATAATTTGGCAACGAAATAAAATGGAACTATGTGCATTTGTGGATGATTACTCGAATCCTATTCCGCAATGATCTTTTCTTAACTTGAAACGGAGTATAGTGGTTGTGAATTAGGGCAAAACTTTTTAACACGAAAAATCCTTAATGCACACTAAATATAATAATAATGAACAACATAATAGCTATTATGTTTTAATTGTAGTTTCATATTGGATGCCTCATGTCAGAAAAATTTCTCCCTATATATTTTGAAGATAAACTGAAAACTTTGTCCTAATCTCCCTCAAAAAACTTGATAAAATAAAATAATAATTAAAAGAAATTATTAATAAGAAAAAAATAGTAAAGAAAATTATTTAAAGAAATCTACGGCTATTTAATGTGTAATGTAGTATATTTCAGTATCGCTCGGATAATTTTTTTTGCATTATATAGCGAACAGGGTAACATCATTTTAAGCGAACTGGGAGCTGATTTTTTAAGAAAAACAAGAGCTGGAAGTTGCTTTGGAAAAAGAAGAAAAAAACGTATTATATTACATATTCAAGCTAACTAAACTGCTCTAGAAATTACGTCTTCAGTAAATACAAAAAAGAAGAGCTGGGAAACCCGGTAAAGGACTACTTATTTGAAAACAATCAACTTTTTGAAGAGGAATAATATTTGAATTTATTCCTCTTCAAAAAGTCATAGTTGTTTTGAGCATAATTTTGCCATTGAAATAAAATATCTGTCAAAGAATTATAAAGTATATACCTAGTGTGATAATCCTTAAAATGTCTGCTAATTTAAGTTTTTACGTGGTAAACTTTTGAACTAGTCGCAAATACTGAGTGGCACCGTAAAATATTCTGAATGAAACTACGGTAAAAAATACTGACATTCAGGGTACAGGTATTTTTTTCCCGTAAAATCCATTTTTACCAGAAAATGCTAGGGAATAAAAATTATTATATAACCATAATTTTTACAGTAATAATTACCATAAATTACTGAGTTACTGTAACTAAATAAACATTACTGTAAACAGTAATTTTTACAGTAATAATTACCATAAATTACTGAATTACTGTAATTAAATAAACATTGCTGTTAAAATTACGGTATTTTACAGACAAAACTAAGGTCTGGTAAAAATGAATTTTACGGTTACTGTAAAATTAATTTTCACCAGAAAGTGTTACGGAATAAAAATCTAATATGCCGTAATTTTTACAGTAATAAATACCGTAAAATTATTGAATTACTCCAACTAAATTAATATTGCCGTAAAAATTGCTGTATATTTTACCGGTCAAAATGGATTTTGTTGTAAAAACAAATTTTACGGTAAAATGGATTTTATGGATGAGTGTAGGTATATTATACCGTAACTTGATCCGGAATTTTTCACAATGTGGTAGCTAAGTTCTTGCCTATTATTTAAATCATTTATGATATTATTTTTCAATAAAAATTAGTAACTATAATTAATCAAAAACGTATTCTATCTCTTGTTATTTACAACTTCAACCCAGCGTACACCACGATTTTCAATACTTCTAGGGTAGAAACCAGCCGGTTTCAATTCGTTTTATTCGCGCTTCAATAAAGAATAGACAGCCAGAAAGAGGTGCAATGTTGACGTGAAAAATTTATATTTTTAAACTTGGCATACCAATCACGAATGGTTCTTTCAGCTTCAGAAGTCACTCCATACACAGCACAAATGTCACGAGCAGCTTTTAAGCCCTTAGGCTGCAAACAAAAAGAAAATAGGAGTCGAAAATACTCTTTTTTCTAAACTTGACATGAACTGAAAATTATCTAAACCAAACTCGTAAAAAGGCAAAATATAGATTTCTGTTGAACAAAACAATCTCATTCGAATGATTTAATGCATCGGGCCAAAAATATTTAATGACATGAAGGATGTATAAAAATGTACAGTGAAAAATATTCCGGATAAAATTAAAGTATAAATTACTGGCACTTGTTGTGCATCATTTGTGAACTCCATTTTACCGTCTAATCAATTTTTATTAGAAAATTATTATACCATAATTTTTACAGCAATATTTATTTAATTAAAACTATTCAAAGGCTTTTGTGGTAATTATTACTATAAAAATTACTGTATATCAGAATTTAGTTCCGTAACATGTTCCGGGAGGATATTTTTTGCGTACTTTTATCCAGAATTTTTTAGAGTAGGAACTTAACTTCAAACCCACCGGTATGTCAACGGTTTTCAGTTTATTAAAAAAAAATAATAATAAAAGATCCGCAATTTAAAGATAACAAATAATAAATAAATAAAATCAGAACACGAACGTAGAGTGTCAATAAAGTATCAAATGCATAAGTAAATTATTGTTAAAGATAAACGCAATAAAATATTTATTGCGTTTATCTTTTAACATATACTAGAAACTTTTGAAGTTGAATAAGTCTCTTCAGTTTCTTAAAGAAAAAGATTTAACAACCCCGAAAACAATGGCGAATGTGAAAGCAATTTTTAAGAATTTAAAATAATTTTGCTTAATACTTCTTATAATTCGGGTTAATTGTAAAACGCGAGTTTTCAAAATTGGATAACTCAGAATCATTCGACCGATTTCGTTCAAATTTTGGATTCTGTAATTAAAAATTGTGCAATTTATAGTGATGAGAATATTTGTATGCCTCACAATTCAAAAGTTTTTCAACTCCTTTTAATAAAAATAATTTTTTTAAAAAATCAGTAAATAATTTTTAAAAATCATGTATGAAAATGATAATCATTAATCGGAAACGGAAAACCATTTAAATTGATCTATTACATGCCAATTAAATTGGTCAATTACTATTAATTATAGTGGCGTAAGTAATATTCCTGCAAAACCCCGCGGATGTCAGAGGGCGCGCAATCCAGATATAAAACACTACATGAGGGAGGTGCCAAACTCTTGATGTGCCACCCGCGGTAGCTCCTGAACATAATAAAATTAATCATTAATTTTTTTTTAGAAATAAAATAAATTATATACTTGATAATTATTAATTGCGCATTAGAGTTTTGATGCGCCAAATCTAAATCAATGTTATTTTTCGATCTCTTTTTTTCGGTGGATTTAAAAATGGTGTAATACTGATGGTTGGTGTAATAAAATGGTATAATACTGAGGTGGTTTTCACTTTTTTCAGTTTTTAGTTTCTAAACGTCTTTAAAATTCTAATGTTTTTATTACAACAAAAGTATAATGCGTATATTTCGAATTTTGGTAATCACTTTTGAAGCTCTTTATTTGAGTTTATCCAAGTGACTTCATAGTTAATCTATGTGATTTCATAGTTAATCCATGGGATTTCATAGTTAATCCAAGTGATTTCATGGTTAATCTAAGTTATTTCACAGTTAATCCATGTGATTTCATAGTTAATCCATGTGATTTCATAGTTAATCCATGTGATTTCATAGTTAATCTAAGTTATTACATAGTTAATCCATGTGATTTCATAGTTAATCTAAGTTATTTCATAGTTAATTCATGTGATTTCATAGTTGATCCAAGTAATTTCATAGTTAACCCAAGTGACTTCATAATTAATCTAAGTTATTTCATAGTTAATCTATGTGATTTCATAGTTTATCCATGTGATTTCATAGTTAATCCATGTGATTTCATAGTTAAGCTAAGTTATTTCATAGTTAATCTAAGTTATTTCATAATTAATCTAAGTTATTTCATAGTTAATCCATGTAGTTTCATAGTTAATCCATGTGATTTTATAGTTAATCTATGTGATTTCATAGTTAATTTAAGTTATTTCATAGTTAATCCATGTGATTTCATAGTTAATCCATGGGATTTCATAGTTAATCCATTTGATTTCAAGGTTAATCTAAGTTATTTCATAGTTAATCCATGTGATTTCATAGTTAATCTAAGTTATTTCATAGTTAATCCATGTGATTTCATAGTTAATCGAAGTGACTTTTCCATCGTTATACCTCGATCGTTCGATGGAGGTTATAGTCGGATTTCCACGTGTTTCTTAAAATACCGATTTTTTAATACGATATTACAACGACTCGCGATTTTCGAATCGTGCAAATAGTAATCACTTTTGACGTGCTTTATCTGTGTCAATTTTATCCTAAATTCAAGCTATTTTTCTATCGTTTTCGGCACTACGCATTCCCACATTAATTAATATGTATTAATACGACACTCAAATCTTGCATTTATATGGGCACTTTATTTGTGCCGATTAATTTGCAAATCAAAGATATACTTATTATAATACTATCATCAGCCATTGCTAAGCTTTTCCATGGGGTTTAACGTGAAATTCGAATGTGGGTTTTTAAACTGTTTACCGTTTTTGAACTTTGTTTTTAATTTTTTGTAGCTTAAAATAGTGCTTAGCTATTTTAAGAATTAACATTCATTAAAATGCCTTGTAATTCACTAAATATAAATGTTTATTAAAATGTTTTTTTTTCTGTGCACCCTTATTTTTCTAAGGGGTAAGTACCCTGATTACGTATACTCTTTCCCTTAAAAGAAGTACTGCCTTCCCCTTTGTCAGTTACACTGTAACCACAAATGATGAATTAGGTTAGAAATAAGGTTAAAAATATACTGAATTGAATCCCAACTTAATAATTTATTTAATTTTGTGCTATAACGTTTTGAGATATATGTTTTGTTTCATTTTAAACTAGTTTAGACCCTATGCAATTTATTTTATTCAAATACTTAATTTGCATTTATACTGCTGAATAAAATAGTTATTTTTTTCTTTTATTCAAGAACATGAAAGCTAATTTGTTTTAAATATTTAAAAAAAACTTTTGTAATAAAAAAAATCTCTTTTGCCCCATCTTATTATTTTTTTTTTTTTTTTGATGAAAAAAAATTATTTTGAAAAGCATCAGTTTGGCTTTCTTCAGTTTTAAATAAATTTTAATATTTAAAAGAATTTAATTTTATACAAATATATACTAAATTGACTGATAAAAAAGAAAAAAGAATTAATTAAAAGAATTATGAAAACAAAAAAGTTATAATAATTTAACGAAAATTAATTTCATGCTAATATATTACTAAATTGACTAATAAAGAAAACTGAGTCTAAAACACTGATGTTTACATTAAAACTAACAAAATGCAGTCAATATATCTTAAACTTGGGCACGTAGCCCTTTATTCAAAAAGGTAGTGCAAATATATGAATTTCAACATTTTTTTTCTTTCTTCAGATATTTTTTAACTCATTTTCCAAATTATAATAATCTTTTACTAAATTTTGAATATAATTCTTGGAAGATAGTGAGTAATTTCCTCGTATTATTACGTTAAATTTCATTTAAATATCGTTAGTCAATAAGTGCATACAATGTCCCAATTTAGTGCCTTTTTTAAAAAAAATTCCGACTTTCCATCTTAATTATTATTTCTTTATAAGTTAATAGTAAAATAATTTTAAATAAAATATATAAATTAATATAAATTTAAATAAATGAATAATTTTAAATTTTCGAATGCCTTTTTTATAGTGTTCTTGTTTCATATTATAAGTTTAAAATTTTTTTTGTTAAGTCTAATGGCGCATTTATAAATCTTGCAGAAGGGGGCAAAAAAAATCTATCTAAGCCACTGATTAATGAGATAAACTAAAATAATCAAATTAAAAAATATGCTTATCAAATTAGAGTGTTTCTTTTTTTTATCGTACAAACTTTGACGAAGAAATTAGAATTTAAAATTTTGAAGAATTAAAATTCCTAATTTAAGAAAGATTAAATGTTAAAAAAAATTGCAGAAAATAAATTACGTAAGAAATGTTCGAAACAGCTGCGTATATTTTAAGTTCTAAAATTATAATCATTACTCGGAAGCGGAAACTGATTTAAATTGGTCAATTACACGGGTTGTAATTTGATACGAACTCATCTTGACGACACTTCATACTTATCAACTAATTAATCACATGGAGTTGCATTTGATGTTCTATGTTCTAATTTGAAAAGTTTATCTGTTTTGAGGCTCATGATATTGCGTAAGCAATGGTCTTGAAAGTGTTCTCTCTTATTCTAAAAACAAACTCTCACATTTATGTTGATAGGTTCCAGTTAGTAAAGAGATAACTTTCTAGATGGCCGTGAATTCATTTTAGATGTAATCGTCTGCTTTTGAACACATCGGACGAAAAAATAAGATCAAATAAAAAAGCTCTCTTCTTTTGAATATATTTTCTTTGAAAAGAGAGAAATGTTGTGTTTTAATAGTGATTTGTGAATATTATTTTTGATAAATAAGTGTTAGCGCGATGTGAAAAAAGTAGTAATTTTTTATTATAAATCGTTTACAACTGATCATCGGAATTAAATTAATTGTGTTATCGTTTGAATTTAAGTTTTGAATATTTTGAATCGTCTGAAATCGCAAAAGAGGATTCAAGTTAAATGCAAATGCATTTAATTTTTTCATTTTATCCAATTTTTGAAATATCTAAATTTTCCTAGTCGATAGTATAGCAGACGATTAAAAAAAAGTTGAATAATTTTGTGTTTGTGACATTAGAACGTTATTATTTATTTATTTTAATCGAAAACTGTCGTCTTCTCTGTATATTATTCCAAGAGAAAGTGATAAGTATGAAGAGTTCAGTAGTATACTTGGTATTTGTACAACTTATCTATTATGTGGTTTCCGAAAATTCAGTATCAGATGTTGAACCTCGTATGATACCTCAAAACTATCCATCCAGATGTCGGAAAACAAACTTTGGTTCAGAATCACCAAGAACAACATCAACAGAAAACGGTTTTTATATAAAAATATCTGGCAAACCTACCAAATATCAACCAAATGAACAATATACAAGTAAGTAGTCTGAAAATATATTAATGCGCAATCTATTTATTATATATTAATATAACTGGCATGTGTACTCTATAAAAAAGTCCGAATAAAATTACAGAACAAAGTAATGGCTCTTGCGGTGCATCAGCTGTAAAATTCATTTTACCGTAAAATGTGTTTTTGCCATAATATATTATACCGTAATTTTGACATTAATATTTAATAATAATAATTAATAGTAATTTATTTGGTGCGATTCAGTGATTTTACAGTAATTATCACTGTAAATATTAAGGTATACCAGATATTTTGCTCCGCAACAATTTCGGGTAAAAATGTACTGGCACCTTGAGTGCCGGTAGTTTAATACGCATTTTTTTAAATAATTAAATTTCATATTAAAAATTAATTATTATAATTATTATATTGCATTATAAATACAAAAATCTAAAATTCTTAAATATGCTATGTTTTAATTATACATTAATATATCTGGTATACTTTTAAACATCTAATTTTATAAAAAAAATTATTTTATTCTTTTTTTTAAAAAAAAATTAAGCATAGAAACATTGTAATATTAGTCAGAGTATTATTAAAATAGGTTTAATTTAGCATAATTTTTTAAGAAATTAAAAAATATATATATTCTATTAAATAACCTATATTATATATCATTGGTGTATATTTTAAGAAGCTTACTTTGTTTTGCTAAATTAAGTTTCGCAATTTCGTTATAATTTTTTTTTTCAGAAGTGTAATTTTGCCCTAGTTTTAAGTCATCAACAATAAAACTATTAGTACTATTGAAATATAATTAATAGTTAGTGAGCTAAAACATTTGTGTATTTTCATATATTATCAGCATGTTAGGATATCTTTTCTTACAAATAAAATTTGTTTGCTTGATTAACTGACGCTTTTAAAGGTAAAATTGTTTAGGGAATTTTTATGTTTCTGTCATCTACTTGGAAAGCGGTCTTTTAAAAAATCAATCTAAAAATAGTTTCAAAATGTCTGAAAACAGTTTGAAAGAATCTTAAAAGAATAAAAAAAAGTGTTTAAAAAGGAATGTAAAAAGAGAATCGAAAAGAATTATAAAATGAATCAAAAAAGGTGTTTAAAAAAGTAAAAAGGGAAGAATATTTAAAAGAATCTAAAAACAACTAAATAAGTGTTTAAAAAGAATATAAAAAATGCAGATTCTTAAACAATTTTAGAAGAATCTTAAAGTGTTTAAAAGGAATAAAAAAAGAATGTGAAAGGATCTATAAAGTGTTTAAAAGGAATAAAAAAAGAATGTGAAAGGATCTATAAAGTGTTAAAAAAAAAGAATCTGAAAAGTGTTTAAAAAGAATATGAATAGGAAGAACCTAAAAGAATCTGAAAAGTGTCTAAAAAGAGCCTAAAAAAGAAAAAATTTAAAAGAATCGAAAAAGTGTTTAAAAGGAATATAAAAAAATTAAAATCTAAAAGAATCTAAAAAAAATCTATGAAGTATTACAATTCTCAACTTTTTTTCTTTATTCTTCAAAGCACTCAAGATGTCTGTTATTTTTCGAAAAATATGGATCACACGATTCCACGAAACACTTGAAAAATAATTCTAGTTACACAATTTAAAAAACTTAGTTGACATCATTGGCAAATGAACTTACATTAAGTATTTTGAAGGGGAAATTTACAAGAAATAATGCCTAGTTTTTTTTAAATCTAGTAGTAAAGGTGACGGTACAACAAATTCTTTTGATGCTACTTATTTATAATACCGAAATAATTATGTAAATTGATAGTTTTTTTTTCCTTTTTCGAACATAATTTCATTATTTTTTATTGAACATCAGGTAATACATGAAATTCCGAATGCCTAATATCTTGAATTATTTAACAGTTATTTAATAAAAAAGTGTTTTATAACTCCATGAAGGTGACAAGTTTTACATTTAATGTTTTTATAATCAAAATAATGCAATGTTAAACCTTGAATAACTGATTACTAAAGAGTAATGTTTAGACGTTTCTCTTGCATATGAGAGGGGGGGGGGAATTATATGCCTTGTAATTATTATTTGTTTCAAGGCCAAATTTATGTACCTTCAAAACTTATTTGATCTATTCAGGACGCAATATTCGTACTGTTAGCACTTGAATACGGTGACAAAACGACAAGCTTTATAAGAAAAGTCGTAATAGCTCAAGGAATAGAGCACTCGACTCCGATTAAGAGTTAGCTCGTAACCCGCGTTCGAATCCCATTAACGGCTGGTCGGCGGAAAATGTTTCCAACTTGCGCTGAACATAATGCGGTCATAAAATATCCACAGTGATCATGAGTTGGAATCCCATTGGAGTCAGGCTAATCGTGGGAGGATTTCGTGTTTTTTATCTCCATGTAACGCAAATGTAGGTAAGTTCTATCAAAAGGTGACACCAATGTGGGATCTAGTATTTACCTTGTCTTTGGGGGTAGGTTCAAAATTATAAGGTTATGGAGTTAAATTGTTATAGTCATGAACTCAAAATTGGTTGGCTGTTCGACGCTGGTTATAACTTTCTTCCACTGAAAACTTTTAAATTTTAAGAACTGACAGTTATGGAGCTAAATGAGATTAGAATAGAACTTCTAAAATAAATCCCATATATATATATA